ATACCACTGTATATAAAAAGCGGGAAGGGAAGACTCTGGAGTCAAACCCCGGCTTTCCACATGAGCATGAAGGTTTTAGGCAACAATACAGAAGTGATCGGGTATTGCCTTCTCCTGGGATTTTTTTTTTCTTTTCATACCAATCTAGCCCATTGCCTTGGCATTTCCTGGTGGCCTTCCATCCAAGTACTAACCAAGTCTAATCCTGCCTGGGTTTTTAAAGGTCATCTAAGATCACCAAAGTGCTATCTATTATGGCATAATTGTAAATTGAAAGATGCACCGATATTGCCCAATAAAACCAATGGTGAACAATAAACTACGTTTTTTGATTAGAACAAAGATAACATTGAACATTCCCTTGTAATTTTTACTATTCTTTATTTCAGAAAGTAGCAGCAGCACTTTGCTTTGTGCTCTTACCTGAAACATCTTGTTTTCTTTGTTCAGCTGATAATGAAGTAGATCCTTTCCCCCTGGAATATTCTCCAGTATACTGAATGCTCAAGTTCATAAACCTATCTGGACTGGATATGGCTTTGCATACATGTGAATCATAGGGAGATGAATCCATTGATTGTATGAATGGGGGGTCACCCCAAAATCTTTCCTCAAATTGTAATTCAGGACTGCTACTTGTTTTTCCTCCTATTTCTAAAAAATTGCCTGAGCTTTGCTGGAATGGAACATCTTTTCTACTAGAAATTAAGTGACAAAAATGCTTGAAATCATGGATAGAGTTCAGTTGTTGTGCAAGAGGTTGCTTTTTTCCCAAGTGTTCATTTTTAGCATCATGATAGATAGGATTCTTTAAGAAATCAGAGATCTCTAGCTGTTGGCCTTTGACAACTTCTGAAACAGTCATTCTATTTTGTGGACAATTCTCAATATAAGAGCTAAAGTCCTGATTACAGCGCAAATATGGCATTGTGGTTTCATTATTGATATGAGCAGGACCTCCAATATTGTTCAGTGTTAGATGTGATGCATTTATTCTTCTTTCTGTTTCCACTTCTTTCAGAAATGGGAGATAAAGTTGCCTCTCTTCCTTTACATTATCTTGAAAGGGACAGATGTCTCCCTCATATAATATTGAAGGTACGACAAAACTATGTTCTCCAGTTGATTTCAGAGAACCGCAAGATCCATTCTGGCAGATATCCAGGGAACAGTTTTTGCTCTGTTCTTCATGAAAGCAATCTGAATGCTCAGTAAAGGGACTATGTCCTTGAAATCTGGAGAACAAAGCCTCAGGAAATGGAAGTTGAGAACAAGAGCAGATGGCAGAATTAATGTTTCCTTGAGGAGGCATAATTTCTTTTTGTATTTCCGGCCTTGTTAATGGCTTGAGGATGTACAATGATGTGATATCACTAAAATTCTGAAAAAATAAGAAATAGATCTGAGTTCATAAAAATAAACACATGCAGCTTTTTAGTGTGAATATTCAACTGTTAAGTAACAGCAACGATAGGAACTCCAATCTGCACAAAAATATTATCAACACCCAAAGAAGAGGTATAGCTTTGGGAACAAGGGGGAAATTGTATCCCAGAAAAGCTTATAGGTTGGGAGAAACGCTAATAATGTTATGTTGATCACTGTGTTGCCATACAAACTGTAACATTTTAAGAAAATATTTCACATTCTTGAGAAAAGAAAAATAGCACTATACGAGCAATAGCTCCCTTGGCAGGTTGCACAACAGAGCTGCGCAAATCCTTTGAAAGATCAGATCAGAAAGACTTTTGATCACATGGGAAATGCAAAGTACAGTGGCTGTATATGCACATGCACAGCAAGCCCACAGGCTTTGATAAAGATATAACTGCTTTAATAATTGGAAAAGACAGAAGCACCTCTTTTGAAGGACTTGTGCAGCTATATCACACATACCATAATGAAAGAAAGTTGAATTCAAACTATACTGGACCTAAAAATAGTATTATCATTATCAAGTTGCTACTGAAAAACCACTGGCATTCAGTATAGTAAAGCCCTACAGTGAAGTGGAAACATCTGTAGCCCAGTAACTATACCTTAAACAATGATTACATGGGGCATCAGAGCTGTTAACACTGGTGTGGTGATAGCCTATGATACCCTTAATCATGCTACAGCAACATTACAGAGATGGTTGTTGTGGTATCACATTAACTTGGATTAATATCAGAGTACATCTGAACTACCGTATGCTCCAGCAATAGTGCAAGCTACACACAGTTTCAGTGCAAGCTACACACAGTTTTAACTTGGATTAACATCAGAGTACACCTGAACTCCTGATTCATAATCTTCTTGATAAGCAGCATTTTCTATATGTGGTTGCAAAGGACTAGCAATGACTGCAATACTGTTTGTTTTTAATTTAATGCACAAGTTTTTTTGCAATTGCATTAGCCAATATGATTAGGAATTAATCAAAAAACAAACACAATCTCAGGAGCTATTTTGGTTTCTTTCCTGTTTCAACAACAACAAAAACAAAACTGAATTATACACGTCATGCTTGTATATGTACACATATCCTGGACAACTGACCTCCAAAACTTTTTCTGGCACTTCAGGCAAAAGTTCCTGAAGCTCAGCAAAAGATGCTGCCAGGAGCCATTCCAGTGAACTTTTCTTTAGCATGAGTTGAGCAACTAGTGGATTCATGCATGGAAATGTAAGCAAGCATTTCTCTGCCTAGAGAAAAAAATAGAAATAGAATTAGACTTACGTTTTGTTTTGGTACTCCACTGGTATATGTATCCAGGCAACTGAAGATGATATGTGGTTATGAGATTATCTTATTGCTAAGCCCCACCCCCCAAAGGTTCAATAGAAAAAAAGATTTGTAGAACAGGAAAAACTGATATTGTTTCTTAATGGTCAACAGTCAAGTTGCCAGGAATATCTGTTATCTGAGAAATTATAGGTAACTAGTTCACTATAAGAGCCTCCAATCTGGGATGATGCTCGGACTGATTTCAAATTTTGAGAAAGTGGCACAGGTATAGTTGTGTTCGTCACAAAATGGGTTCCTTGGCAATGTAACTAATTTTTACACCAGATTACTAGTTTCACAAAAGGGCAAAATGGTAAAGCTAGAAGAAAAATAACCTGCCCAACCACCAAAGGACAAAACAGAAATGTGCTATGAGCTCCAAAATATAACATTCCTTTGAATCCACAATTTTATGTTCTATTCATCTCACTAAACAGAAACCCATCAATTTTCCCAAATAGTCTTTAAATAAATCCCTCTAAAATTAATGTATTCTCCAAATCTAATGGAAGATAATTTCCAAAATAAATTTCCCCCCTCCAATTCAATTCCTGCTCAATTAACTTTCAATGTACTTACCTCCTATTGCCATTCCAACTAACTTCCTACTCTTTGTCATGTTACTGTGGAGAATTCCTCTTAAGAACATTTGGAATTCCCTAAGAAATATTTGCTCCTAGGAATCTTGAAGCTGAATAAATCTCCCCTCTCTCTCTGAAAAGAAAGCTGAGCTTCTATTCAGTCCTATAAAACACTAGCATCAGAGGATCCAGGCTGATCAGTGTAAAAATGCACATATAAGCAGGACTTCACATAAGTAAAGGTTTATTTCTTCCTGTAAGTACGGATTTCTGCAAGAATCCTTCTCATAGCCTCTAACTAAACTTTGAGTGCAATTCTGAAAGTTCAGATTTAAAAACCTCTGGTTGCAAGCTTCTGGTTGCTGGAAAAATATTTGTTCTTCAGATGGCAGACTTCTTTCATGTGATGACCTTGCCAATTGTCAGTTGGATTGACCAATGAAGTTCCTTTGACCTTGCTTTTGAACTGATTCTCCCATAAAGACATTTTGTTCCTGGTCTCCAACTTTTCTCCATTTATCAGCTCCCTGGGGAACCTGAAGCAAGGAGTTGTTGTTCCACTTAAAGCAGGGAACTTTTTCTCTGTCAACTCAACTCACCTACCCCCAGTCTTTATAAGAAAATCAACCAGTTTGCCTGGGATTACTACTCAAAAACAAACGCTGAACTAAACTAACACCTCTTGGGATCTACATCTCCTGAATGCTCTTTTAGTGTCCAGCACATTAACACTAGAAATGTTGGTGTCTTATAAACAAAAGAAAGCCAAATCATTTACCTCTGATGGCAGAACAGAAAGCCATGACTTGTTCAGCCACTCCTGAGGATGTTGTTTAGAAGCTAATAGAATGTGGTCAGCTATCTGGCGAACCAAAAGTGCTGTCTCTTCAACTCCTGGTGTAAGAACCACCTAAAATATATTTGCCTTTTAAATTTAGAATGAAAATTATATACAGGTAGAAAGCACAAAAATAATCCTTTGATATCTTAATACCCAAGTGATGATACATGTTCACCATCCTACCTAGATGGAAAAATGTCTCTATTATTTATGCTCTGATAACTTAACTGGGACTGAGAATTATAAATATATTATTCCTGTAGATTCCTGTACAGTGTTGCATAATTGATTAAGGGTGTGAGACTCCTATTGTGTATTAACTTGAACAGAAAAAGCTTTTTTAAACAATATTCTTGTCAAGAGGAAGGAAGGGGGAATGTGGCCAAATTAATCAAGGATTAGACACTACTAAAATTTATTGTATGAATCCAACTTCAGGATATATCCATACAAGCACTTTTGGCTGGCTCTTGTCACACACATCTGAAAATGTAAAAAACAGCTCAGATAGAGGAAAGTGCTATTTATACCAGTCCCAATTATTTTAGTAAAAGAATAAACATGCAAAACTCCAGGGATCAAATGTGCTCAATCGAAGTGTTCTGACCCCTAAATTAGAGCCACATGATTGGGATGGTAGTGAGGAGGCTCACAAAATATGTAAAGAACAAATCTGGGCGCTGAAAGCTGCACATATGTTAACCCTTTATTGTCCGAGTGCCTAATGATTAAATGATTTGCTAGTGTGGGAACATAGTGACACATACATACATTTAAACACAAACTACCTTCACTTCAAAGTCTTCTGACTTCTGCGCAAAAGGAATCAGGGCTGCATAAATCAAAGCAAGATGATGCAGAGTTTTTCCAGTTAGGCTGTATCTAAATGAAACAGCATATTTTGTTATTGTCTTCCTACACACGCGTGTGCACGCGCACTCACAGAGTATTCCTTTTTTAAACCTTCTTTGAACATTAAATATTCTCTTTACTTATTTACATTTTAAGAAAACAAAGGTTACTGCACAGTAATTGTGTCTGAACTTGTAGATTGAGGAAAAAGTGCTACAGATTATGTACAGTATTTGTTTATTTACTTATTAATCACATTTATATGGCCACCCATCTCACAAAAAGCGACTATGGGCGGCGTTCAACAATATTAATATCCTTACTATATTACATTATGTTTATTTAATATATTTTAACTGCAAGCCTAAATGCTGCAATGAAGTAAGTAGAACCTAACAGAAAATGCTCTATAACAGTTCTCTTCCCTCCCAAATTTTTTCAGAACCCTAGGAAGAGAAAACTACAGTGGTACCTCGGGATACGAACTTAATCCGTTCCGTGACTCTGGTTGCAACTC